CCCCAAAACCCCAAAACCCCAAAACCCCAAAACCCCGAATTTTAATAATTTACTTGAAAATGAAATCCTATTATTTTCTAAGGTCTCTAAGTTCATCATAGGCCAGACATATCTCAGCTGGATCTTAGTAGAATAATCTTGTCATTACAGAATAGGGAAAAGAGATGATTAACATAATTAACCCTTAATTTTAATCGGTGACGATTCCCTCCGCTTGAGAACCGAATTGTAGATTGAATCTGATATTTGGGACTTCAGCTCCTCAAGGTTCTTCCTTTCAAAGTTCTTCGGCATCCTTCTAAAAAGTCTTGGCGAAGGACCTAGAGTTTAAAGGATAAAGCTCTACCTTTAGATTTTAGCTTATTAGTAAATGAAGGTGTATTGATCCTTAAACTTGTCCTGGTCTTAGCACCTCTGATTTTGATCTTTAGCCTTCACTGGGGAGGAGATTCATCTCTCTTGAAGAACCTGTTTCTAGTAGATTTTATAGGCTTTGTTGACGACTTATGACTAGGAGATATAACTCTAATTCCAGTGGATTTATCTAGAGTAGGTTATACTAAAATATTAACTTACTTAGTTCCCGATCGTACATTCTAAAAGTTGATTCGATGCTTCTATTGAGAGCAGTATTCTTCTTAACCCTCACATGTTTTACTTTCCTGGTCATTGGACTTTCAATAGTTTTTGAAGCAAGGTCCTTTATGTGGGCTGGAATTTTTACTCCTTTGTATTTTTGTACCAAGAATGTGCTAATTGTGTTCAGAGTTTGGTTCAAGACATATTTCTTCTGCGGGATCCTGAAGGGACCTTTATTTAATAGCCAATTTTTGGCCTCTTTTATGAGCAAAATAAGGTAACCGTTCGATATTCTTTTGCTTAGATCAATAAAAACTTGCTTGCTTAACTTTCTTCGGAAAGCCAGAATCAGTTGAAATTATACTCTGAGCACAGAACAGCCATCCTCTGTTAGGCACATCGTCAAATATGGGAGGAGGGCAGTCAAAGGTCAGTGGGTTTATCTTCTCGATAGTTTTTGCTCTCCCTGTGGATATCCTGAAATTAATTTGCTTATTCACCGGCTCTTCGAAATGAACATTGTTTCTTTCCATTTCTGTAATTTCAATAATATATACAGCATTCGGGGTTTTGGGGTTTTGGGGTTTTGGGGTTTTGGGG